ACCTCCCGTTTTCTAATTCCCTTTGGGCTTGTAGATTTACACTTGTTAGAATGTTGCATAAAATTAAAGTACATAGGCTCTATGCAACTGTTTGAGAGTTTTCAGAATTTAAATTTAGATAATGCTATGCTTGTGTGAGCTACTTAGACATCATTTATTTTACCTGACTGGTTTCTGCAAAGATAAATGATTATCATATAAGATACCATACAAGACTCACCTTTTTCTATCCACCGAATCTCATGCAAAAAATGCAAATGCTGGCTGGCACCTGGTAGAGAACATGCCAGCAGCCTTTTATAGCTACCTCAGATCAAGAATCACATTCCAAAGAGTTCCCTCTGACCTCTTTTCAAAGCAGTAAATCATGGCATCTACTAAATCTTCTAAACAAACCTGGAGAATAGTAACAATTTAAAAATGTGTGGATTGTTTGTATTCCTCCATTTCCCATGCTTACGAAAGTGAAAATTTTCCAGAGTACATACCCTGTGAAGGATTCTAGGAAGTTGATGAGCATGTCCATTGAGAGTGAGTGATCTTGGCAATGGTTCCCCCTACTCTGGAAGGATATTTGATAGGAAAGAGAATAAAGGCTCATCAATGGGGATTCAGAAACTTTTGCTCCAATGACACTTTGATTGGTTTTGATGGGTCCAGGCCACCAAGCTCCAAGGGCCCCCCTTTATTAATCTGCCAAATGATCAACATACTGGTTCTTTGTATAGGCTATTCAGAGATTAAGGGTTCTTGGAGAATAGTGGTATTGCTGTCCAGAAAGTGCTGTGCACACTAAGTACAAACAAGAGGTCTCCATCCTCCCACCCCTCCCATAGCTACCTGCAACTGTAAAAGGATGTCCAAGATTATAGGCAGCAGAATACAGAGTTCAGAACATTCATTTTGGTATCAGACAGAACTGGATTCGTATCCAGCTTGACTGCCTATTCCTTGTGTGACTTGCTCACAAACGGTTTGCTCTCGTGGAGCCCCTGTTTCTTCATCTATGAAATGGGGATTATGACTATCTTACCTCAGAAGATTGCTATGAGGACTATCTGTGACAGTCTATATTAAACTGCTCAGTCTTCGAAAGTGTTAGGCAAGTCCTCAAAAAACATTAAAAGTCTACACCCTAATGTCACAGTAGAATATCAACTAACACTTCAAGTTTTCATCAAAGTTTTCCTTGAAGGTTGCTCCTCATGGCTTTTTTAACTGGTTATTCTCATCACGAATAAAAGATCCTGCTGCCCTGTGACAAAATTCAGCCTAACATATACACAAGAAGAGGTTATCAGGAATCCCAGGGACATTTCTGCTTTCTGAAGCATTCTCTAGAGAATAAATTTATTTCGAGTAAGAAGGAAAGAAGGGTTAATGTTTAATCTTTTCTTAGCAACCCCACTTTATTCATAATATTTCAGTGTAGAGCAAGTTAATAGCCAACAGTTGCAAAAGACAAATCCACAGTTAAGGGCTGGTATGTATTTATAGCTGGATGCATATGTCTATAGCTGTGAGGTATGTAAATAGAATAGATACAATTTGTGGATGTTCTGTGTGTGTACCTCACAGGAAGGACAGAACAGAGAGATGAATATTGCAGATAGGGTAGAGAATCCAAGAGGTAGAGATACTTTTCCATATCTAAGCATCTCATTCTTACAGATCTGATTCACGTAGTAGGCTAGGGATCTTTGCAAAGGGCTACAAGCCAATTCCATTACAAAACAAAACTCTAAAATGGAAAAGTATTTAGTAAAAGTTCAAAACTTCCTCTTGTCTCCGAGCATGCCCAGCAGTCTGCTAGAAGCAAAGTGGTATAAAATGCAGGCTTTACTTTCTTGTGGGTTGCAGCCACTACTGTAGCTATAAATGACTGGCAAGGCAGGGAGCACTGGGTTCAAGGTCGGGCCTGAAAAGGCAGCAGAACCCTGCCAGAAGAGCAAATGTGGAGTGACAACAGATGGGGAGGGTGGTGCCGAGGGTTTGCTCGGTTCCTCCCCGATTGATTGAAAATGTTTCTGGTTCCCACATCCCAGGCAGGGGCCTCTGAAAAGTCTTAGTCCCTCTGCCATTCATGATGTCCTTTCTGCAGCGAAAGAGATCTGTGCTGGAAACACAGCTCTGCATTATGGCACTGGCTCTGACCTTGGCAAGACAACTTGAGCTTCTGACACTTGGGTTCTTTTAAGAGTTAATGAGACAGGGAAACACCTGCATGGCTCTTCTTCCTGGTAGTCACAGATGTGTCCTCATTCTCCACAGTATGGTTAGACTACAGTCACCACTCTGACTCCTGTCCCAGGCCTAATCTGCTCTGGAAATCTGAAATGACACAGATGTGGGTTCAAATCCTGGCTCTGCTAATTAATTCGTTGTAAAACATTGGGCAAAAGGCACTCACAAATGTGTGTGTGTGTATGTGTGTGTGTGTCTACACCTCTGAAGGTGTAGAGAAGCTGACAGAGTCGGAGTGAGTTTAATGTCTGCTAAGTTCTTTAGAATGAAATGGAATATAAAATATACAGATCACGATCCTCCTACAGTTAACAATCTACTGGGCTTTGGTTTGTTGGGAATCCTCAGTCTCCTCATCTGTAATGTGGACATAATAGTACCTATCCTGAAGAATTATTTTTAAGATTAAAATAGCAAAAGATTTGAGTGAGGTGCCTGGTATATGGTGGATACAACAAAGTAAGTTACAAATAATCCTAGCATGTGCCTTTTTAATTCTTAATTTTCCCATGATGCCATCCCATGATGCATCTGTCCCTCACTTCCCATGCGCTCTCTCCATGTGTTCTGATGGTAGCCTGAGAGAGAAGCAGCTTTCCCTGAAGTTAGCCATGTGGGTTTTAGTCCCAGACCTAACTGGAGTCCTTCTCTGCCTCTTACCTAGCTTTGTGACTTCCAGCATGCTACTTCTCGTCTCTCAGCCTCATTTTACTCATCTGTTACATGGGAGAAGTTTCAACTATATGAATTATTATTCTTATTGTAAGAGTAGTGTGTGTGTGTGTGTGTGTGTGCGTGTGCATATATGTAAGAAAAACACAGAGTGAGAGTGTATTTACCACCTGGCCAATGCTAGGGGCTAAGGAATTTACAGTGATGGTCCCTGGGCTTTTGGAAGACAGCCACTAGCTAAATTATAGCACAAATTGAAAACTGTACTGGTGTCAGATTTTTAAAAGTTCACGATGTCTTCAAAGTCGAGAATATAAGGATTTGACTCAGCCGCAGAGATTCCAGGTGGCTTTCCTGAAGAAGTGAGCCTGAAACAAGGAGTGAAGGATAAATAGGAGTTTGCTAGGTGAATATGGGAGGAAAATGCATTCCTCACAAGCTCTCTGTGATGTTCCTCATTAGCATCACAAGCATATGATCACCTTCTTGCTAGACCATAAGCTGGAAGAATACAAGGATGGTATCTGTCATCTGTCACCTCTAAGTCAGTGCCTCGAAGGAAGCACTGGAGTGCTGGTGGAAAATCGATGAATTTGTTGAATGAAATTAAGAGTAACTGCTGTGTCCTCATCTCACAGCTTTATTCAGATGCAGTTAGGAAAGTCACATATTTAAAGAACAAACAGCATGAGCTTGCTATTGGCACAAACCACACACCCATCCAGTCCCTGTCCTCTGGGAGAACTAGCACCACAGCTCAGTAGCAGTCTCTGTAGAATGAGACAAAGGACTCGAGTATAGTCAAAAGTATCATTAATGTTACTATTTGAACATTAGCAAATAGGAGGCTGTAGCTTATCCCAGGTCTGTAGGTTGTGGAAAACGTGTCAGGTACAGCTTGGAGGCTGAGGATGTTATCCCTAAACAAACATCTAACCTTTGTCTTGGTGTAGATGCCTAGGGCTTGTCAATGATGCATTCTGTTTCCACTGGCTAAGAGTCAGTGCTGGGTTTAGATAGTTTAGGTTTAGGAGGCATTGGTGATATCAATTTATAGTTGGTATGGTATTCTGGGACCTCATTTTGCTTCTAGCGTTAATCATGTACTTCTTGGACAGCATATAAATCAGGGAATTCATGGACATCACATACCACAGAGCCTGCACATGGTAAGCAAGCAAGTTATGTGTAGCTGTTACTATTAAAACCGCCAGGCCCTGCTGGGTGTTTTGTCAGTTACCCTAAAACAGCATCAGCCTTTCCTGGACTGGGAATTGCTTTCTTTGGAGATTCCCTTTGTGAAATGAAGAAAAGCAACTCCTCTCCCAGGTCTGGAAGCCTCGCTGCTCCTCTGTTACCGTGCCCTGGGATGCAGGCACGGGGCAGTCGAGGTGAGGCAGGGCTGCAGCTGCTGAAGGTTCTGGAACCTCTGCCTCCCCTCGGCTCTGCTAGCCTCTGCCTCGCTCTGCCTTCCTAACCCTGGAAGGAGAAGTCTGGGTCCAGCTGTGCACTGGGCATGCTCGCGAGCCAGGGCAGGCTGGGGTCGCCTGCAGGACGCTTCGGCTGTGTATGCTCCCCAGTTTGCAGAGACTCGGATGCAGCTGTGGTGCATCGGGTTTTGCAGAGCTGAACCCTTGGTGCGTGCAGCCAGGGAACCCAGCCTCCCCGGGACAACCCCAGAGCAGAACTGAACTCTGTGCAGCCCCGGGTTTGCGCACTCAGAGTCTGCTCTTGGAAACGCCCGGCTGGGGTTTTCTCTGCAGACAAAGGGCTGCACGTGCCCCTAGCGCCCCTCTTTCACAGCCGCGAGCCCCTCCCTGGCTCCGTACCCCGCAGCCACAGCAGCTGCAGTCCCAGCGCCACCACCCAGCCCCGGCGGCCGGGCCTGTGCGCACGCTGGGGGCCGGGGATTGGCTCGCACTCCCCATTCAGGGACCGCGCTGGCGGCGGGCGGCGCTCGGTGTGTGTGTGTGTGTGTGTGTGTGTGTGTGTGTGTGTGTGTGTGCGTGCGCGCGCGCGGGTGCATATGTGTGTGCGCGCGTGTGTGTCGGTGCGGCGCGCGGGCGGGCGCGTGTGTGCGCGCGAGGGCTCTCGTGCGGGAGCCGCCGGGTGTGCGTGCGTGTGTTATGGGTTTGATTCCAGAGCAGGTTGCACATTGGTCCTGGGTGGCTCGCAGGCTCAGGTCGTGCTTGGGCGTCCTCCTCCTAATCGTTTCCGAAGTAGCAGCAGGAGCAGAAGCAGCCGCGGCAACAACGGCAGCGGCGGCGGCAGCTCAGCGGCGCAGCCAGCAGAACTGTGCAGAAGCGAGCACCGTTTGGGGAGTCCGGAGGGCGGGTTAGAGGGAGGAGGAAGAAACCCTGTCTTGGTCTTTGGGATTATTTTTTCCCCCTTCTTTCCCTCTCTCTCTTTCTGGAGGGTGTGTGTTGCCCCCTCGAAGTGAAGGAATTTTGCTCCAAAGCGAGCTGGGACCGAAGACTCTAGGCTAAGTTATCTCTCTATGTAGATGGTGTCAGGGAGCGAAGCTACTGACCGAGCTGCTGGTAAATGTTTTTCACTTCTTACTCTTTATGCTTAAGGCTTTTTTCTCCTTTTCTTTCTTCCTCGTTTCCTTTCTGTTGCTCTTCATTCTGCAATCGCTCCTGAATCAACTGCAGTTCCTTCTCCCTCTCCTTGCGTTTGTGCAGTTTGCAACTTGTTTCATGGTTTTCTATGTATTTTTTTTTTTTTTTCTTCCTTCATCCTCAGATGAATGCTGGAACATTTAGATTCGGCACTTCGGGAGGTCATCATTAGTTGCATGAGTTTCAGGGGGGAGGGGAAAGGTTGGTAGAGCAGACTGTTATTTCCCTGCAGAAGGACTGCCGGTTTCTCTCTAATGTTCATCGCAATTATAGGGATTTTTTTTAGGATGCATTTTAACATTGCATTGATGTTTAAGGTTATCGTTTTCCAGGATTACAATGCATTTTTACTCAGTTTTGACAGCATGACAGATACCAGTGATTCCAGAGCTACTGTATGGCACAAGCTGGCTAAAATATTCAAAACTGCAGGAAGGATCATTTGCATTCCAAAAGAGAATTTCTTTAAAAATGTTGTTTTGCATCACATTGCTGCAGATTTGCAGGAAGAAATAATAGGTACTACTATTCATGTTGCTTGCAAAGATAATAAACATATAAGTGGTTTAGTGCATAATCTACCCTTCTGTTCTCCAGTGATTGAGCTATTGCTAAATTTACTTAATAATAAATTTAGGGCTATGGAGAAAGAGGGAGATTGCTGGTATTGTTATACTCTAATTGGTGAGATATACAGCGATTTCTAACCTCAAACCAACCTTCTCCTATATCTTTCTTGAAGTGGATCTTGTCAGTTGGGGAAGGGGAAGGCAGTTTCTGCCCTGCACATGGAGTAAAATTATTTAAAATAGCCAACATAATGCATTCAAATTGGACTCTCTTTTCTTAAAAGCAGAACTTATTCTGTAAGTCACTACCATAATGTTTTTAAAATATTTAAAAATTAATATACAATAGTTCTTTAAGGCATTCGTATCATTTAAGGCATTCTTTGGAGGGCTCTGAGTAGTTGCCATGTTTCATTGTTTTGCCCCCCTTAACCCCAATTTTAGTTCCAGTTCAGGAGGAAAACCGAAGGGCCTGTAGGTAAAGGTAAATCAGCAATTTAGAAAGAAATCTGCTCACAGTTTAGCAATTTCTGCTAAGCCATGGAGAAAGGAACTAATGCATGGCTGTGTAAATGTAAGGAGGGAGACTGACAGAGCAGGTTGCAGTCTCAGTTCAGTTATTGTCATCTGGGGGAGCTCAGAGCTCTGAACTCAGGTGAAGATATCCAGTTCAGGAATACTCTGAGGCACATGTGTTTAACAGAGAGAAAATACTGGTCTGTGAAGAAGCCTGCTTCTGCTATGTAGTAGCCACATCCCAGAGTACCAGGTTGTCCTGTGTGCAGAGTTCGGTTTGCAATAATACTGTTAAACTTTGTTTTAATGGAAACTTAGCTGTTGTTGGCGGACCTGCACAGGACAGGGCAGCTCATTCAGGACTGAAGAAAAAACTAAATTAACAAGTCAGACTTTTTTTTTACATATAAGAAAACCTACCCTAAAACACTATGCAAATTCACCTGTTTGGGGAACCCTGGACTCACAAAAGCCTTCCTTAAAATTGTGAACAGAATTCCTGTGATCTAAAGCTTATTTATTCTGTTGTAGTTTACGGCTAAAAATAAGGCATTTAATTTAGAATGAAGGCTCAGCTTATTCATGAGTCCCTTGAAATGGCACTATTGGCACTTTCAAATATTTTCATGAACCCTTGAATTTGCCATTTTGATCAAGTTGGGCAAGGGGTAGGGGGATCTAAACTTCCTTTCATTAAGATTATAGTTGTTTTTGAGTGAAATATTTGTTTCTATGGGTAAGAAAGAAAAAACAAATTCATGTAGTAAACTCCAGTTGAAAGATCCCAAGGCATCTAAAGAATCATGGATCTCTCATTCTAGGACTAAATCCAGAAAGCAATATCCTCCATGCTGAGCAGCTGCATTAATCCTCCAGCTCCTCTACACACATGGGCATCAAGAGATAACTACCTGACCAGGCTCAGGACTTGTTTTGCAGGGCCCACGGGGCAAGATTCCTAATTGTTATATAATATATCCAAAGCATGAATGCTTTTACAAAACATTAAAATGTTTATCTTCAATTTCAGTATCTTCACTGGATGTGAAGACCAAAAATACATTGATTTAAAAAACGTTTTCTTTTTTTTTTTTCCTGCTGAGATTGGTTGATTTTTTGCCCACCCCTCTTTCTACTTCTAGTTTCCTGGCAACTTCTGTTAAGCTCTGATAATTTGTGTTAAAACATTAAACATATCTCTGTTCTGGATGTAATGCTAGGTTAAATTACTATTCAATTAACAGGATTTCTATTCTTACATGAATGTGTGTGATATCATGTTTGAGATTTTTGAGCTTGGGTTTATTATTATTATTACTATTATTATTATCATTAAGTTTCTTATTAAATCTTAGCTCATTTTGACTTTTTGTGCCTGGTGTTGATTTCATTTTAATGTATCAAAATATTATCATCTTGGTAGCTTATTGGTAAACTATGTAGTTTAGTGTAAATTTGTCTTCCTGTTGAATCTCAGCAATTGCGAAAACATGCTATCTGACCTCCTGGAGAGAAGGTAACTTTTTTTGGCGAGAAGGCAATGGAGAGACCCAGGTGTCTGAGACTGGATTCAAAAAACTTGACAATCACATTTGTCTCTACTATTAGGGTTTCTATTTTCTTTTTGATAAGATTGGAGGTTTTTGTGCATGAGTGAAGTGTTGATTATGCTAGAGCTACTGAATGTTTCTTAAAATTAATTGTTATTTTTTTCATTGTGTAAGTGAAAGGAACTTTGAACTACTCTTGTGCTTTGAAAAAGAATCTGTATTGGCTAGCTGTTTCAGTGCTTTCTCTTTTGTTCAGATTGCTTTTGAAAGGTGATTTCTGGTGAAATATGGTCAAGGTCATTTTCAAGGGCCTTCTTATGCCTCCCTACCTGAGATCTAAAACTTAAAATGAAATTTAGAGAAGCAATACTTAGTGTCGAGCTACTTCCTTACCCCAAATATGGTTGTGTTGAAAGTATATGATTTTGTCTCTCGGTACTTTGCGTGAAGCAACAGTTTCATGCTTTCAGCTGCTGATTCTTAGTAGCCCTGATAGATTCACAAGGAGAAACCCTCCACTCTGTACATGCAACAGATTCACAACCTTCAGAGAGCAATACAAGACACCTTCCTCTACCTTCAGGCAAGGAGAGATGTCTTTCCCTATGCTTTCAATGAAAGGAAACAGTGATATTTCATTAGTGGAAATATATTTTCTAGGTTGACAATACCCCATTTAAAATTTCATGAAACTACCGGTAATTTTTAGATTCTTTTGTGATGAGAAAACAACAGTTTTGTCAATGTATCCTTTGTACTCTTGGCTTCTGTTTTGCCCTATAAAAGAACACTCACATGGTCCAGTACTATGTACTACCAATAACATACTTTTTTTTTTAACATTTTGAGTTGTTTTTCCTATCTAATAAAGACAAACAACTACTTAACATAATTATTTTACCTAGGCTAAGAGTGTACAAAAAGAGAATGATATATCTAGGCCTGTTCGTATTTTTAAAATATTTCATGAAGAGGTATACAATGTTTCCCCTAAAATCCATGCTCACTGCCTCAGTCTACTTAATATGTTCACTACTACAGTGTTGAAGTTGATATAATGCATCCTTTCTAAAAAAAAAAAAAAAAAAAAAAAAGCACTTCTGAATGGCAAAGAATGATAAATAGTTTGCAAATAAGTTTCTTCCATTTTTGCTGAAATACTATACTTAGGAGCCTTGTAGGTAAAAAGAATTATAAGGGAAAAAAGTATAGCTATGTCCTTTCCAGCTGTGCTGGGTGTAAAAAGAGAGCAAGTATTTCAACTCTGTTAGTCTAGTAAAGAGAAATCGAAACAAAATAATGCACTGAATACGTTAAAGTAAAACTTGTTTTTCCCAGTAAGGATGCTTTTCTATCTGGCCATATGAATTGATCTTTGACTCATGGGACAATTGACAGCATCCCTGATCAGTGCTGTGTGGCTCATATCACTTTTTTATGATGGGTGCAGAGGGGCCATATACATCTTGGGAAATTTAGCAGCGCTTGCTTGGGCAGAGACAGGTGGTTTCTTTGAAGTTTAGATTTCTTAGAACCTGACTCCCATTCCTGGAGAGGAGGTGTGGCACCCTGCCCTGCACATCTTCTGAGATGACTATGGACTCTGACCAGTTCTGCTCTCTCTTCTCTAGTACAGTTCTGCCACAGGATTTTAGAACATTTTAGGTGTTTCAGCTCACTAATTCTTATTGCATTAATTTATGAATTTTGGAATGTGATGCAGATCTAGAAAAGTTTGGAACTGGGCTTTCTAAAAGAGTCTATTTTATTGCGCTGATGATAAAATTATTTAGCAATATGTAAGCTTAAACTTATTTTTAAAGTGCTAGAAATTTTGTATTGTCCGTTTCTGTTAATGAGACGTTTGTAAAGCACTTATTCTTAGTTATATAAAAGGGAGCTATGTACCCTTTAAAATAAGAACTTGTTCATGCATTTAGTTTAAAAGAACAAGCTACTTCTTTTATTCATTTATGTTCCTCAATCTTTAATTTACCTATTAGGAGGTGAAGACTAAGCTGAGGAATATAATTCACATGATGAAGATGAAATCGATTTTAATGATAATATAATATACTGATTCTAAATCTTGAGAGAAGACAGTTCTGTAGAGGATTCCTTTGGAAAAGGCTTATGTTTAAATATCATTTTTATTATTGCTTAGGGCTTAACTGATACTCAATATTTGAATATCTCTTCTACTTTAATTAGAGGAAAAGAGTATTTGTGGAGAAAAGAAGTACATCCTTGAAGAAAAATTATTTTGGTAGAGGTTAACATATCC